CTTGTTGTGATGTATATCTTTAGATTTTGTGTAACAGTGCACGCTTCTTCTGCTTGTTGTGATGTATATCTTTAGATTTTTTTGTAATATTGCACTCTTCTTCTGCTTGTTGTGATGTATATCTTTAGATTTTTTGTAATATTGCACGCTTCTTCTGCTTATTGTGATGTATATCTTTTGATTTTATGTAATATTGCACGCTTCTTGTGTGTCTTGTGATGTATATCTTTAGATTTTTTGTAATATTACATTCTTCTTCTGCTTGTTGTGATGTATATCTTTAGATTTTATGTAATATTGCACGCTTCTTCTGCTTGTTGTGATGTATATCTTTAGATTTTATGTAATATTGCACGCTTCTTCTGCTTATTGTGATGTATATCTTTAGATTTTATGTAATATTGCACGCTTCTTCTGCTTATTGTGATGTATATCTTTAGATTTTATGTAATTTTGCACGCTTCTTCTGCTTGTTGTGATGTATATCTTTAGATATCTAACATGTAAGAAGAAAAATATAAAATTATTTAATTCAAACTAGTAATAATAATAATGATAAAAACGATTTAATTCTAACTTGTAATAAGAAAGATAAAGAACCATATAATTCTAACTTGGAAGAAGAAAGATAAAGAACCATTTAAGTCTAACTTGCCAGAAGAAAAATAAGGAAACATTTAATTTTAACTTGTAAAAAGAAAGATAAAGAGCCATATAATTCTAACTTGCAAGAAGAAAGATAAAAACAATTTAATTCTAACTTGTAAGAAGAAAGATAAAGAACCATATAATTCTAAATTGTAAGATAAAGTAAATAACCATATAATTCTAACTTGTAAGAAGAAAGATAAAAAAAACATTTAATTCTAACTTGTAGGATCATCAACTTGAATATGACCTACAACACAAGGTAGTGATGATCTTGAAAAATGCTGAAGTAATTAGAAGTATTTTCAACGTGATAGCTGAGGTATGTAGCCTTTGTCTAAAATAAGAGGTTAATATGAACTTACAGTCTTTCAAATACTGTTAAAACCTGAGTTAAAGTTTATACTATTTTCTTTTTTCTTTGTTGTTAAGTGCAATAATACACAATGGGCTGTATGTGATCTGCCAGCTGCTGGTATCAAACCTTGATTTTTAAATGAAAAGCTCTAAGACTTACTGATAAGCCACTAGGGACCACTAGTTATTGAATGTTGAAATGTAGCAGTTCTAACGACTATAATAGTTGTTTAAATAGTACTTATAATCTATGTTCCAATACAGTTTAAATAGTACTTATAATCTATGTTCCAATACAGTTTAATTAGTATTTATAATCTATGTTCCAATACAGTTTAAATAGTACTTATAATCTATGTTCCAATACAGTTTAATTAGTACTTATAATCTATGTTCCAATACAGTTTAATTAGTATTTATAATCTATGTTCCAATACAGTTTAATTAGTACTTATAATCTATGTTCCAATACAGTTTAATTAGTACTTATAATCTATGTTCCAATACAGTTTAATTAGTATTTATAATCTATGTTCCAATACAGTTTAATTAGTATTTATAATCTATGTTCCAATACAGTTTAATTAGTATTTATAATCTATATTCCAATACAGTTTAATTAGTATTTATAATCTATATTCCAATACAGTTTAATTAGTATTTATAATCTATGTTCCAATACAGTTTAATTACTATTTATATAATCTATGTTCCAATACAGTTTAATTGGTATTTATATAATCTATGTTCTACTAAAGTTTAATCAGTATTTATATAATCTATGTTCTACTAAAGTTTAATTAGTATTTATATAATCTATGTTCTACTAAAGTTTAATCAGTATTTATATAATCTAT